CGCACTTGGTCAGGACGCCCTTTCTGAGGATGGAGGAACAAAGGAAGGACTTGAAGGAGTTCTCCCTCCCCACCATAGTCAAGTTCTTTACAATATTTCTTGTTGTTTTCATAGTGGGGGTGGGGAGTCGTGGTGGTGCAGGAAGCAATGAGCACATTCCAGCGTCTGCGCAGACGCGCCATTTCTGATCCGCGTCCGTGTTCTCTGGGCTCGGGCAGCACAGGTGGCGTTCCTCGTGGGCGCACTTGGTCAGGACGCCCTTTCTGAGGATGGAAGGGAAAAGACAAGGCTTGTGGAGGTTCTTTACAGTATTTCCCTGATAAATCTTGATTTCATAGTGGGATGCGAAGTAACGTGGGGGTGGGGGTGGGGAGTCGCGGCGGTGCAGGAAGCAATGAGCGCAGTCCAGCGTCTGCACAGACGCGCCATTTCTGATCACCGTCCGTGTTCTCTGGGTTCGGGCAGCACAGCTGGCGTTCCTCGTGGACGCACATGGTCAGGACGCCCTTTCTGAGGATGGAGGGGAAAAGACAAGGCTTGTAGAGGTTGTTTACAGTATTTCCCTGATAATTCTTGATTTCATAGTGGGATGCGAAGTAACGTGGGGGTGGGGGTGGGGGTGGGGAGTCGCGGTGGTGCAGGAAGCAATGAGCACATTCTAGCGTCTGTGCAGACGCGCCATTTCTGATCCGCGTCCGTGTTACTGGGCTCGGGCAGCACAGGTGGCGTTCCTCGTGGACGCACATGGTCAGGATGCCCTTTCTGAGGATGGAGGAACACAGGAAGGACTTGAAGAAGCTCCCCCCTCAGTCAAGTTCTTTACAGTATTTCTTGTTGTTTTCGTGGTGGGGGTGGGGAGTCACAGCGGTGCAGGAAGCAATGAGCACATTCTAGCGTCTGCGCAGACGCGCCATTTCTGATCCCCGTCCGTGTTCTCTGGGGTCGGGCAGCACAGGTGGCGTTCCTCGTGGGCGCACTTGATCAGGACGCCCTTTCTGAGGATGGAGGAACAAAGGAAGGACTTCAAGGAGTCCACCCCACCACCACAGTAATATTCTTTACAGTATTTCTTTTTGTTTTCATAGTGGGCGTGGGGAGTCGCGGTGGTGCAGGAAGCAATGAGCACATTCTAGCATCTGTGCAGACGCACCATTTCTGATCCCCGCCCGTGTTCACTGGGCTCGGGCACCACAGGTGGCGTTCCTCGTGGACGCGCTGGGTCAGGACGCCCTTTCTGAAGCTCCATGGGAAAAGGGAGGGCTTGTTGAAGGAGTTAACCCCCACAGTCATGTTCTTTACAGTATTTTGCCTGATAATTCTTGTTTTTAAAGTGGGATGGGAAGTAATGAGGGATGGGCGTGGGGAGTCCTGTCCACGCAGGAATCAGTGAGCACATTCTAGCTTCTGCGCAGATGCGCCATATCGGAATCTCTTCTGTGTTCTCTGGGTTCGGGTACCACAGGTGGCTTTCCTTCTGGACACCCTTGGTCAGGAGGCCTTTCTGAAGACGGTGGAAAAAGGCATGGCTTGTAGGAGGAATTACCCACCTCCCCCAGTCATTTTCTTAGTATTTCGCCTGATATTTCTTGTTTTCATAGTGGGACGGTAAGTAACCTGGGGGTGGGGGTGGGGAGTCGCACCGACGGCGCAGGAAGCAATGAGCACAATCTAGCATCTGTGCAGATGTGCCATTTCTGATCCTCGTGTGTTCTCTGGGCTCGGGCACCACAGGTGGTATTCCTCATGGACGCACTTGGTCAGGATGCCCTTTCTGAGGATGGAGGGAAAAGGCAGGTCTTGATGAAGGAAATAACCCCCACATTCATGTTTTTAACAGTATTTCAACTGGTGTTTCTCATTAAAACTGGATGTTACCAAGCGCTGCAGCTCTCCCAGCCAGCTGCCTTCTGTGATGCAGCTAGTTAGAGATGCTCCCATGATGGGTGCAAGGGAAAAGACAGGTTGGGTTGTCTGTACGGAAAAGTGCATCATGGATAATCTCCAACAATGGCCTCCTATTGACTACATATTTGTTCCATTTCAGACAGAGGAAGATGGAAACAACTTTTTAGTTTCTACATCAACAGCTTTCCTGGCTGGTGAGGAAATGTGAGTCATTGTATCCATTAGGCTTGCTTTGAAACTTATATCTTGAAACATCCTTTCTGATGATGAATGCTCAGTTTGTCATTCCCTACATGCTCTGCTATCAGATTGCTTGGTTCCAGAGGCTTAGTTTTTAGGGTTTCTTTGACTTTTGTGTAACTCACTCCTAGGGTGTGATCATAAGTGATAAGCCTCCTGATTGTAAAGGATTAAAGGTGTGACCTGAAAGGTTGGAGATGTACACACAGAACAGAGAATTTAGCCAGGAATGAGAAGTTGAGAAAGATTTTTTTGAGGCAGGGAAAGAACTCCAGTGAGGGAAGGGATAGCAGGGAAAGGGACGGGGCATCTTGAGCCCCCAGGCGGGTTCCGCAACCCAAGGAGATAGGTCAGGGAAGTCTACCCTTGCAGGTGGGCAATGGGACTTACTTAGAGGCATATGAACCTGTAAGGTGAAGGGAGGTTCTTTGTGCTACGGCTGCAAGTTTCGGGCCATGTGACGTCCTGTCAGTAAATCATGTTGTTCCTAGGAAACAATGCTAGGGAGAGGGGGGCTGTGTTCTGCCCCAGGAAGTAAGCTCTGTGAAATGCTGAAGGCAGGTGCTCTGAAGTTCAGGTACTCTGAAATTCAGCCAGGTAATTTGTCTTCTCCAGAAGCTGGTACAAGGGGTTGCCTTGGTTCGGACCCGGCCCAAACATCCAAAACTCTTAATAATAGTGATGATGGTCTTTGTGATCTATCGTGAACAACTTCCTGCTGAGTTAAGATGACGAGGTGTGGGAAAATTAAGTCTGGGGCCCTGGGCCAGTCAGCAGTGGACGTTAGGGGTGAAGCAAGAGCTGGTTGAAGGTCAGGTTGGAGATGGCTTTCATCCGTTCCTGCAGTAATTTACACAGGGAGCTAAAAGTACTAGTACACAGATCATACTCAGAAGCCCAACGAGGGCCATAACAGGCCATGACAGGATGTTGAAACCATGAGGAGGAGCTGGTGGTGCTCCACTGATGTGTCCTGATTTTATCGGCCATGATGCGGAGTGCTTTAACATTTGATTTAACCACACCTGATTTATTTCTATAGTGTATGTACCCTTTTGCTAGCTGTTAACAGATTTAACGCACGGCGGTTTTGAAGGGATGTAAGTTGCTGCTGCAAGGAGGTGAGAGACTTCAAGGTGGAGTTTATGACCAGCTGGAGTTGTTTAAGTTTTGTGTTTGGAGTATGCTGTGCCCTAATGGGTGAGTGTAGACGTGGGCATGTGGATGCATGAACATAAGTGAGCGAGCTTGCATTAATGACTGTGAGGGGGGCATACGGGCCTGTGTGTGCAGGCATGTGTACAGAATGTGAGTGAATGTTGTATGAATAGTGAACATGGAGTGAAAGAATGAGCTGGTGTATTAACAGTTATATGATGTCTGCAAACTTTATGTAGAGAAAAGCCACTTTCATCCTGATTTGTGAAGTAACAGACTAGCTGTGGTTGGACACTGTGCAGTGACAAGGAGGGGATGGTGAAGTGGAGAATTGGAGTTGGGTTGGCGGTGAGTTTTTGGCAATGGTGTCGGCCTTCCTATTGCCCTGTGCGACAAGAGAGTTATTAGTTTGTTGTTCTTTGCAGTGGATGAGAGCTATTTTGTATCGGTAGCTGAAGGGCCTGTCAGAGATTGGCTTTTAATGTACCGTTTATACTGGGGGACCCCTTGGTGGTGAGACTTCCCCGCTCCTTCCAAATGGTGGTGTGACAGGGAGCTATAAGGAAAGCCTACTTAAAATATGTATTGGCCCTGTTTCCTCTAGCTAAGTGAAGAGCTCGAGTGAGAACAATAAGCTCCACCTTCTGAGAAGTGGTTCCCACGGGAAGGCGTGCAGCTTCCCAGACCCGATTCAATGAGACCAGAGCATTGGCCACTTGTTGCTGTTCCTGAGCGTTTACAACAGAACTGCCATCAACAAACAAAGTTAGGTGTGGATTAGGATACAGTTGGTCAGAGAGTTTGGTTTGGGGCAGTGCTAGCTCCTCAACTGCCTGGGTGCAGGAGTGGCTGACGGCTCCGGCGAGTCTAGGAGTTGGGGCAAGAGAGTTGCTGGGTTTAAAGAGGGAGCCTGGCGGAGGGTTGTGTCAGCGTTTGTAATAAAGATGAGGTGTATTTCTTGCAGGCGGCTTGGGGACAGTAGAGATGGAACCCGATCCAAGAGGAGGCCCTGCAGTCTGTGGGTGGATAACGTGTAGATGGGCTTTCCCAGCGTTAACTCTAAGGCTTCTTTGGTGAGGGTGGCAGCTGCCGCCAGGGCCCAAAGGCATGGTGGCCATGTCCCATTTCTTGGACAGATAAGCTACGAGGGATAGAGGGGGCCCAGGGGCTGAGTTAGGACACCAACCGCTATAACTTGCTTTTCCATGTAAACTAAAAAAAACATTTGGCGGGGTTTGGTAAATGCAGGTGTGGGGAGTGGAGGAGAACATGTTGGAATTTACTAAAGGCCGCCTTGATTTGCTGGGGAGAGTGAAGGAGGCCAACAGGAGTGGTCTTAGTGCCTTCATAAAGGGCTTACTAGATGTTTTCAAGGATTGCCATCTATACCTACATCCGTGACTGGGGAAGGAGAAGTGGGTTCGGAGAAGGAAGAGAGAACCGAGAAGGTAGCCCCGTGTTTACTAAAAAAGAGACTGGCTTTCCCGCTACCTGGATTGTCACCTGAGGCTCAGCGAGGGTTACCTGGATCTTTGAGTCTGGGTGTCTTCAATCACTGTCATGTCCAGGTCAAGTGATACGAAAGGGTTCGAAGGGACCGGGCCTCCTCGGCTAGGCACCGAGGGGCAGTGGTTTCCCTAATGGCCCTGCTGACTGCACGTAGGGCAAGACTTGCAGGGTGGTCGGGGCTGCTGGCAGTGCTTACCCCAATGCCCTTCCTGGCTACACTTAAAGAAGGTCCAGGCGGCAGACGGTTAGAGGCATGGTTGGGAGCGTTGTTTCCTGATGTCTCCGGACCCTTTCCTCCAGCCGGCCTGAGAGCAGCAATCAAAGCCTGGGCCTGCCAGCGAGCTTGCTGGCCTGCTCGGGACTCATGCACTGCCTCAGCCCCTTCCTCTTGGGCATTAAAAACTTTAGATGCCATGTTTACCAAGTCCTGGATGGGGGTCTCAGGGCCACCCTTGGCCTTTTTAAGTTTTTTTTTTAATATTAATAGCTGATTGAGTTATAACATGAGTGGCTAAAACAGTAGCTCCTGCTGGGGCCTAGCCTAGTGTACTGGGCTAAGGGCTCAGTCATATGTGAAAGAAAAGCTGCAGATTTTTTTATCTGGCAGCTTGTCAAAGTTAACTGCTTTATGAGAGATGGCTTGCAAGTCGGCCAGCAAAGTTTGTATTATTTGGTCTTGGCTAACCTGCCTTTTCGTCCAAGCTGGCTCCTGCCTAGAAGCTTCCTGAGGGCCTACGGGCAGGGTGGCATTTGTGAGATGGACCTGGTCTGCATGCTGCTGGGCAGCTGTAAAGACCTGCTCCTGCTCGTCAGGGCTAAGGGCAGAGGTGAGGACTACATAAAGATTATCATGCCAGGTTAAGTCATAGGCTTGGGTGAGGAATCGGAACGTCTTAATATAGGTGGTAGGGTCCTGTGAGAAAATACCCTGCCGCTTCTTACAAAGGCTGCGACTGAGAGGCTTGGGAGGCTGAGTCGGGAGGTAGCCAGGAAGGAGAGAGAGAGATTGACTCCAGGGAGTCCAACAGTTTGGCTCTGGGAAGGGGACAGGTATGGGAGGTGCACTCGGGGAGGGGAGGGGATGGGTGTCAGAGGCACAGTCGCCTAGGTCGTTGGGAGTGCCTGTGCTGGGAATTGAGCCAAAAGTACTTGTGTGGGTTGGCAAGAGATGCAGAAGAGAGGGTCGGGAGCAGGGAAAGAAAAAGACAAGCCTGAATGTACGGAATCTTAGACCATTTGGGGGTTTGGTGACAGAAGTTGTTGAGGTTGCGCGGAATATTGAAAGAACCGTTTTCTGGCCAGCACGAACTGTTGTCTAATGGTATTGTGGCCACACTTGGTTACAGAAGAAGACCGTATGCTTAGGGCGAATGTCCGGAGCCAGGCTCAGCTCAGTGAGATTGGACTGGAGGTGTCCCAAGGGACTGTCCCTGGGAGGCTTCGAGAGTGAGCTTTCCATGGTGTCTTCAACTGCAAGGGGTGCGGTCAGAGGAGAAGGACGTCTCCTGGTCCCCGTGCGCACCCGTCAATCAGGATGTGGCCTGATAACCCTGAGAGGAATCCCGGACAGAGTTAGGGGCCCAGTGGGAGAGTCCTGGACTCCACAGAACATGAAGGTTCCCTGGCACATGCCTGCGGCTTTAACTGGTAGACAGGGGCCTTGGAACAGTGACAGTGAAAGATACTGCAGGAAGCTGGGGAGGGGAAGGGGCTTGGCTTTGTGCCCGGCTGAATGAAGGGTGCCAGAGGCCTTTGTTCAGAAAGAAGCAGATTTTAGATAATGTCTGACAGCAGGTACCACAGAACTACCAGCATGAAATACACACACAGGTAGAAGAAGCTCAGACTCACCCATTGTGATCCATCCTGGTCAGAAGGTGCAGTGACCACCAGGCCCAGAGCCAGCAGCCCTGCCAGCAGCAGGAATCCTAGGAAGTAAACACAGACCAAAGGTTGTAGGCCACATGAGAGGGAAGATAGATACAGAGAAAAGGTGGGCCTTATCGTTGCACCCCTCACAGGGAAAGGCAGTTATTTCCAGCTCCTCTTGGGTGGCAGCGTAAGCCCCTGCCTGGAGCCATACGGACCCTATGTTCCTATATGAGTTTGCTCCCTATGTTCCTATATGAGCTTGCTGGTCCTCAGTGTCCGAAAGACAAATGAGACAGAACGAGTGTGAATAGAAATACTTACTGGAAAAGCGCTTGCACAGGAAAACTTCAGAGGTCAGTTAAAGTGGAGGATGGGGCTGCGCACCGGCCAGAGGGAAGCCGATGTGGCACAGATACCCCTCCTGCCACTCCAGGATTTCAGCACCAAGATGAAAGGTTGGAGATGGAGGCGCACAACAGAGATAGAATTTAGCCAGGAATGTGAAGTTGAGAAAGATTTTTTATATCGTTTTATTAGGGGCTCATACAACTCTTACCATAATCCATACATACATCAATCGTATAAAGCACATTTGTACATTCATTGCCCTCATCATTTTCAAAACATTTGATCTCCACCTAAGCCCCTGTCATCAGCTCCTCATCCCCCCCTCGCTGCTCCCTCTCCCTCATGAACCCTTGATAATTTATAAATTATTATTTTTGTCATATCTTACCCTGTCCGACATCTCCCTTAACCCACTTTTCTGTTTTCAGTCCTCCAGGGAGGAGGTCACATGTACATCATTGTAATCAGTTCCCCCTTTCCAACTCACCCTCCCTCCACCCTCCCAGTATTGCCATTCACACCACTGGTCCTGAAGGGATCATCCGCGCTGGTTTCCCTGTTTCCAGTTCCTATGTACATCCTCTGGTCTAGCCATATTTGTAAGGTGGAATGGGGAACATGATAGTGGGGGGGGGCTTTTAGGAACTAGAGGAAAGCTGTATGTTTCATCATTGCTACATCTAACTCTGACTGGCTCATCTCCTCCCCGATACACTTCTGTAAGGGGGGTGTCCAGTGGCCTACAAAATGGGCTTTAGGTCTCCATTCCACACTCCTCCCCTCATTCACAATGATATGATTTTTTTGTTCTTTGATGTCTGATACCTGATCCCTTCAACATCTCCTGATCGCTCAGGCTGGTGTGCTTCTTCATGTAGGCTTTGTTGCTTCTGAGCTAGATGGCCGCTTGTTTACTTTCAGGCCTTTAAGACCACAGACGCTATATCTTTTGATAGCTGGGCACCATCAGCTTTCTTCGCCACATTTGCTTATGCACCCATTTGTCTTCAGCAATTGTATCAGGGAGGTGAGCACACAATGATATGATTTTTTGTTCTTTGATACCTGATAACTGATCCCTTCGTCACCTCATGATCACGCAGGCTGGTATGCTTCTTCCATGTGGGCTTTGTTGCTTCTGAGATAGATGGTTGCTTGTTTACGTTTAAGCCTTTAAGACCCCAGATGCTATCTCTTTTTGTTAGCAGGGCACCATCAGCTTTCTTCACCACATTTGCTTATCCACCCGCTTTGTCTGAGCATTCTTATTTGGGAAGCTTTATGTGTGATTGTTTTTCCCTAGCAGCTCTCATGATTTTCTCCTTTTCCTCAAAGTTAGATAGTTTAACTATTATGTGCCTTGGTGACTTTTTCTTGGGATTCAGTCTAGCTGGTGTTCTTTCAGCCTCCTGAATGGTTGCCAGCTTTTCATTCATTAAGCTGGGGATATTTTCCTTCAAGAACTCTCTCACTATTGTTGCAGATGACTTTTTTGTGTGTCTTCCTCCGGTAAGCCAATAATTCTGATGTTGTTTCTCTTCATAGTATCAGACATAGCTCTTAGGTTTTCTTCATCTTCTCTGATGATCTTATTAGATTTTGCTTCATGTTTGTTGAAGTCTGCTTGGGTGTCCTCCAAGTTACTGGTGCGGTTCTGTGCTTCTTCCAGTTGATTATCCAGGTCCGTGTTTCTGCTGCTGCTTTTTTTTAATCTCCTCCCTAAGCTCTTGTATTTCCCTTTGGTGTATGGACTTTTTCTCTTATATCATTTCATCCTTTTTTCTATATTGTTTCCTTCTTATCCTGTATGACTCCAAGCAGCATTCTGAAAATGTCTTTCTGTGGCAGCTCAATGTCTACTTCTATGCATGTCTTTATGTTCAGGACATCTTCTGCCATTGCCTTTTGTTTCTCCTGTTTTTTCATTGAGGTCGTTGGGCTGATGGCTGTTTGCGTTGCCTTGTTTTAGAGGAACCAAGTGCCATTTTACAGGGAGTCGAAGATCACTGGCTCTCTTTGGGAGACCTGTAGGAATGCTTCTTTGAACTGCCTACAGCTAAATTCACTATGGAATTAATCTACCACTTTGTCCTCCTGTGGCTTCCCTCTCCGCGGAGTGTCCCAGAAGGGTGGTGGTTTGCCTGATTTGGTGTTCGGGAGGTTGAGCAGAGGTTCCTGAAGCAGCTTGGAATGTTGATGAGTGTTGGCTGAGCTGCCTTAATCCTTGTGAGGCACTAAGTTAGGCGGGAGGAAGTTCCCTCTGTCACGCGGGACAACAGAGGAAAAATAAAGAGCTCCCCCAGGCACACATGCAGGAATTCCCTGGTAACAAGTTGGGCGGTAAGAAGTTCTACACACAGGTAGAAGTTGGACAGTAATAATTTCTTCTACACACAGGTAGAATCTAAGACATGCCCTTTGCATTCCAGCCCGGTCAGAAGGTGCAGTGACTACCAGACTCAGTGCAAGCAGACATGCCAGCAGTAGGAATCCCAGGAAGTATACACAGAGACCAAAGTCTGTAGGCCACATGAGAGGGAAGATAAATACAGAGAAAAGGTGGAGTGCGAAACTGGACTAATCATCGCACCCCTCACACGGAAAGGCAGTTATTTCCACTTCCTCTTGGTACTAGGGTGGCAGCATAACCGCCTGCCTCTAGCCATATGGGCCCTATGTTCCCATATGAGTTTGCTGGTCCTCAGCGTCCAGAAAGACAAATGAGAGAGAACAAACATGCACAGAAATACTGACCAGAAAAGCGCTTCCACAGGTAGACTTCAGAGGTCCGTGAAAGCGGAGGATGGGGCTGTGCACCAGCCAGAGGGAGGCTATATGGCTCAAAAGCCCCTGCTGACGCTCCTGAGTTTCAGCATCAAGATGAAAGTTTGGAGATGGAGGCGCAGAGCAGAGATAGAATTTAGACAGGAGTGTGAAGTTGAGAAATATTTTATTGAGGCAAGGAAAGAACTCCCAGGAGGGAAGGGGGAGCAGGGAAAGGGACAGGGGCATCTTGAGCCCCTGGGCGGTTTCCACGAACCAAGGAGTTAGGTCAGGGTAGTCGAACCTGGCAGTGAGGCAATGGGACTTATATAGAGTATTAGCTTAAAGGTATAGGAGCCGATAAGAGGAAGGGTGGTTCTTTGTGCTGCGGTTGCAAGTTTTGGGCCAAGTGACGTCCTGTCAGAAAATCATGTTGTTGCTAGGAAACAATGCTAGGGAGAGGGGCCTGTGATCTCTCTGGGGAGGTCATCTTGTTCTTAGGGAACAATGCTAGGGAGAGTGGGGCTGTGTTCTGGCCAGGGAGGTAAGCTCTGTGAAATGCTGAAGGCAGGTGCTTTGAAGTTCAGGTGCTCTGAAATTCCGCCAGGTCATATGTCTTCTTGAGATGCTGGTTGAAGGGGCTGCCTTGGTCTGGACCTGGCCCAAACATCACCCCCAATAAAGAAAGCAACAACACCAAAATCACAGCCATCCAGGCCATGCTTATCAATAAGGACTATAGGAAACCTTAATTCTTACCCAAATTTGCTGAGATAAGAGGTATGATTTCTCTTGAGTGACAGCCAATCTTATCTCAAGAGAGCTTATAGGAGAAGGATAGTTAAGCTATCATGGAATCTTATAGGTAAATGACATTGCTTAAAAGAAAATTTATGATCTGAAATGAAACTTTCACCATATTTACAATTTTTAAAATATGTTTTAAAGGTAAAATGGTAAAAGCATGGGTTATTGATATTATCTATGCAGTTATCTATATTCTCTGCCTCTACCAATATGCCATGAATCTCAGATAAATGTGGAGCCCCTGTCCTTTTCCTCCCCCAGCAAAAAAAAAAAAATAGATGAAAGAAAATGAGGCCAGTATAGGCCCACCTGTTCAGAAAGTAGTGTCATGAGAGGGACTTCCAGTTTGAGAAGATACCCCCCAGTTGTGATGTGTTAAACATTCTATATAAATCATCATTACAGAGTTGAATAGAGAAGGAACCCAGGCACAATAATGGCTTAAGCTTTGAGAGGGTACCCACAAGGTCAGAAAACTAACCATGTCTTGAGGCAAAGCTGAAGCCATCTACTCTGCTCAGACACCCACAGGGGCAGTTCTAATCTCCTGTGTGGGCTCACCAGGAGCCAGAACCGACTCAAGGGCTCAGAAGCTGAGCTCCAGGGAATGAACTGCCCAGATTCAATCCAGAAAGGCTAAACCTTCTGTTGTCAGCAGCCAATGAGCAGAAGGTTGTGGTTCCCCCAACAAAGGAATGCTCTGTAGATTATTTTATCTGGGCCTTTCATCGACCTACAGGCCATGGGACTTAGACAGCCACCACCATATTTCCTACTTAACTTTGATTCACCCACCTCCCCAGCTACTGGGTCCCTGTCCCCAGCTGCTGAGGTCACTGCCTGCCATAGGACCTGCTCATCTTGGATTCCACAACTCCTGGACAACCTTGAGTGAGGAGAAGAATCCAGTTTGAAATCAGCCCCATTTGGACCTGGCCAGCCTCTACCGCAGTGAGTTGATAAGAGGAGTGGCATAGCCAGAAAGCTCCCCTGTGAGGAGATAAGGGGGGCAGAGCGGGATCCAGATTTTGGAGGGCTAGCATAACAAACTGGGCTCTCCCAGAGGTCAACCAGCAGACTCCTGTTTCCATTCCCAGGTCAGGCTCCCTTTCGAAGCATTTGATCATCATGAGCAGCGCGAGCCCTCCCAGACTCCTGGACATCGCCATCCAGAGCGTGCTGCAGGATGAGGCCTCAGCCATTGACGCTCTGGAGTGGCTGCCCGTAGACCTCTTCCGTCCCTTGTTCACGGCAGCCTTTCAGGGTGGACACAGAGAGACAGTGAAGGCCATGGTGTTTTCCTGGCCCTTCACCTATCTCCGTCTGGGGGTGCTGATGGAGGATTGCGAGTCTCTCTATGACATGTTAAAGGCAGCACTCGATGGTCTTGAGATGCTGCTTGCCCTCAAGGATCGACCCAAGAGGTGCAAGCTAAAGCAGCTGGATTTACGGCTGAACAGTGGCACCGAGATCTGGAATACGTGGCTGGCAACCCAATCCGATGGCTCTCTGACCTCATCAGAGGAGCCTGCAGCCACCCAGCCCAGTACTCAGACCCCCAAAGAGGGCAGATCCAGGTCAGAGGAGAAGCATCAGCTCCTGCCCCCTGTGAGGGTGCTCATAGACCTGTGCTTTCAGGAGGAAGTCATGGATGAATTCCTCACCCTCCTCAGTGAAATCATCAAGCAGGGAAAGGCTCTGCCTCCCCTATACTGCAGAAAGGTGGAGTTTGTTGGGGATGTGCCCAAGTTTTCCATTCTTGAGGACATCCTAGAAATGGTACGGCTGGACTCTGTCTGGGATGTGGAAGTGCGTGGCCCCTGGGACTTGCATGACCTCAACTGGTTTGGTTCTTACTTGGCCCGGATGGTTCACCTGCACACAATCTCGTTCTCTGGAATCGTCTTAGATTGCTTGGGGTTATGCATGCAGAAAGGGGTGAAGAAGCTCCTTGCCGAATTCAGCACTCACTTCCTCTGTCTACATGAGGTCGAGTGCCTCATTCTGGATGGTGTCTTCCTCCATGGCCACCTCCACTGGCTGCTCAAATGCTTGCAGACCCCCCTGAAGTATCTCACCATTAAGGACTGCATGCTGGTGGACTCTGACTTGACATGCCTGTCCTGCTGCCCCTGTACCAGCCACCTGCAGTCCCTGGATTTGAGTGGTGTCTTTTGTAAAGGCATACATTTTGGTTTGCTTGCAGACCTGCTAGAGAGGTTGTCAGCCACCTTGACCAACTTGGACTTAGATTCTTGTGGCATCAAGGACTCTGAGTTCATGGCCTTGAAGCCTGCTCTGGGCCACTGCACCCAGCTCAAGTACTTGGCGTTTTCCGGGAACCCGGTCTCCAGCGGCGTCCTGCTGGCCCTGATGTATCACACCATGCCACGGTGCCAGTTTTCCTTTCTGGAGCTACCTGTCCCTCCCCGTTGCTATGTGGGACCCGAAGATACTCTGGATGAAGGCAGTCTTGAACAGGTCATGGAGGACCTGACCCTGACCCTGCCGCCAAGCAGGCCCCACTCAATAAGTTTCCTTTCCTATCATAGTCGGAATGGGTCTGATGCAATCATCATTGATTTCAAGTCTTGATGTCACAAGGTAACAAGAACCAAATAGGATGAAGGGGACAGTAGGAGGGCTTCAGTTGTGAACACTCATAATTTGTAGAAGGCTTTGGGGGACAGTGGGAGCCCCTAATCCATGTGCAGAGTAGCTAGTCAGATGAAGCCTTTGGCAGATGCTCTCTGGCCACAGGCGAGGGATGGGAACTGCTTTACTATCAGACAGATTATTGTAAACTTGATGGTGGTTGGCACCGTAGTAAGATAGGATAGTGGGTTAGTTGACCTCCCTCTTGACCCAGCCTGAATTTTTCTAGGCTTAAGTATTCCTCGCTTGTTCCACGAGAAAACTTTCTTTTCTGGCTCTTGTAATATTACTGGTGGTCTTTTCTTTCTCTTGACTTTGTTTTTACACCACTTCTTTCTGTTTCATTTCATTTTTCCCCCCACTCTTGCTACTGGGTCTCCCAGTTTATGAAGCGTGGACAGAGTGGATGCATAGAGATAATAACTGATGTAATGGTTTACCAGGGATAGCGTGTAGGGAGGTGGAGGGAAATTGGGGAGCAAGCAGTGAATGCAGGCGTGGGGATGGAGGAATAGAACTGATTTTGATCATGCTTCTACAACTATTTATAAAAATGGAATTGTGTGATATGTGAAGTTAATATCAAGAAAACTACCATAAATAAGAAACCAAAGTAGACCAGTGGTCACCATAGGTGAAGGAGGAAGAGTTTTGCTTAGGGGGCATTGAGTTTATGTTAATGGTGGCAGAATAATTGGGAAAAGGATTTCAATAATGGTTGTACAACACACAGTATCATCCATGGCACTGAATTAAGCACATGCAGAAGATGTTGATTCAGAGACTGTTGCCTTGTGTATATTTTTGCCAGGATTAAAAAAAACTATTACACTTATAACCATGAGTAACCAGGAAGAAGAAAATCTTCTAAACTGGCTAGTGGTAGTGATTGAATAGCTCTTCTCGGTAGGATTGAGCTATGGAATCGTAGGGGGATCAGGGGTCAATACAATTGTTTTCTTTAAACGCGAGTTGGTGTCCTACCGCTCTCCTTTGCCATAGAGTCTCAATCCCACCTCCATTCTCTGGTAATGAATCGACTTACAAAAGCACAGTAAGTTTGCTAAATGGGTGAGGTTTGGGGTTAGGGTCATGAGGACTAGGTCATGTTTACTACGATCATGTGGGAGGTTGGAAGCTTGGGTCAGAAGCTGCATGTGATATGACCACTCTGACTGAAGTCCACCCTTCTTTGTAAGCAGGCATCATGGAGGCCAAGACACAAGGAGATCTGCTGGGATGTGCAGGCGCCCCCGATGTTATGAAGAGACAACCTCCCCCACCTCCGTCCAAGAGAGAAACCCACTGCCTACCACCCTGTGCTACATTTCTGCTTCCGACCACTTGCACTAGCCGACAATAAAGAACTCTTTGTAATGCTATCCACTTGTGGCATTCATTTCTTCTGTAGCGGGGGGAACTATAAAACTTTAGACCAGCAGTTCTCAACCTGTGGGTCCCAACCCCTTTGGGGGGTTGCATGACCCTGTCAAGGGGGTCACCTGTTTCAGAACAGTAGCAAAATGACAGTGGTGAAGTAGCAACGAAAATAATTTTGTGGTTGGGGTCACCACAACATGAAGAACTGTATTACAGTAGTACGGCATTGGGAAGGTCGAGAAGCACTGGTCTAGATGGCCATAGAAGGAATTTGTTGCTGTGTTTATTCCTGACGTGGAGAGTGGTTGTAGGGCGCAGCAGAAACTGGCCCCAGAATTGGAGATACGGGTCACCCCTCTACATCTGCCCCACCTCTCCACCTCTGAAGCAGTTTTAGGCCACCTTCTCGATGTGCGATGCTTCGTTTTCCGGGTCCACTGGGCTGGGCAGTGCTGCTCAGGGCCAGTTCAAGATGTCCTGATGTGCTCTTTGGAGCCCTGGTGGTGTCCTCATGACTTAGCCCTGGTGGTGGTTGGAGGAAGGATTTCTAGTAATGTTAGGTTTGTCGAGTGGGTAGTCCCTCACTGCTTGGCTTGGCATGAGAACGAATTCACGGAGACGCCTGGTTTGTGATCCAAGTGGGTTTTTATAAAGGACGGGAGAAGTTTCAGGTTTTCCAGTCTCAGGAGTCCACGCTGTTTCAGGGAAGTTTGCCAAATCACGCAGAAGCCGTGGCTGGGGTTCAGCACTGAACACGGGCAGCCTGGTGGGACTGCACACAGACACGTGGTGCCCTGAGGCCAGAGACAGCGGCACGGAGCAGGGGAAACGGGCGAGAATCCTCTCGGACCTGCCAGTCAGTGGGAGCAGGGGGTACACGAGCAAGTGAGAAGCGAGGCTGTGGGCCCTGAATAGGCGCGGACGGGGGTGCATGTGCTTCCCAAGTAGGCCTGCGCTGGGTGCTAAGGGTGCCCACTCTAGCGGTGCATGTGTTCCTTACACCTGCCTCTGCCCAGGAGCAGGGTAAAAAGGACCAGCATTACCGCTGCCAGGGTATTTTAAACCTTTAACTGGGGAGGCATGCTCGAAGATGTTGGTTGGCCCCATTGGCTGAATCAAACTCACCTGGGCCTATAGGGGGCCACACAAGTGTAACGCCTACCTGGCTCGCAGTGGGCGGTGGGGGAATCTGAATTGGAGCATGCCCAGTTCAGGGGTCTTCATGGGTGGCAATTGGGTTCCCAATTGACCTTTCCCAACCTCCTGTACGGGGCCTGTGCAGGAACAACCCCCCTGTCTGTCTAACATTTTTGTGCTGCCGTGTGACTCGGAGATAACCTTTGGATGATACCAGGACTGGTGTATGGAATGCACTGTGGCTATCCGCGGAGTCCACCCTGCAGGACAGCAGCCCGCCGTGGTATGGCAGCCG